TTTGTGAGGAGGCACCCATATGAATGGGAAGACTCATGAACTTAATGCCTTAAGGTTTTAGATTGAGATATGATGTTAGATTCACTTAACATGGTGGTATAATCTTAATCCATCGGTAATAATCACCCGCCACGAGCTCCCCTTGAACCTGCCTGAAAGTGGTAACAAAGCAAAACAATAGCATACACAAAACCTGTAACGCCTGACAACTTGTAAGGATCAATGACTGTCCTCACACACTAACACGAGACTTTTCAGCGTGTTTTGTCCTCACTCGCTAGTACCAATTAATTCTTATAAGTTATTCCCAACTGTACTGTCCCATATCAGCACAGTCTCTGGAATCCCTCTCTTTCGGGTGTCGATTCGATTCATTCATCCATGTAACCCCCGCTGGAAGCCTGTCAGGAGTCGCTCCTTGTCCGTGCCTCTTTGCACCGGCGATCACTCTTCGCCGTCGTCAGCGCTCGGGATGTTACATGCCCACCAGCTTCCGCGTAGGTCGTCCTCGAACCACACCGTACTGGAAGAGAGGACGGTCCCCACACACTAACGCCTGACAACTTGCAAGGATCAACGACTGTCCCCACACACTAACACGAGACTTTTCAGCTTGCTTTGTCCTCACTCACACACTTCCCAGGAAAACTTCCTAGTAGGTCACCTATCCCAAAATTGCCTCAAGTGAAGCACGCTTAACTATGAAGTTCTTCTGTTACGGACTACTGAAAAGTAAGTGCATCTTATTAGTATAGGTAGTACCAATTAATTCTTATAAGTTATTCCCAACTTTAGTGATAATTTGTCTATAGAGAATCACATGATTATTGGCTATCCATGGAATATGTAAACAATTATATTTATAGTATCTATTCTTACTACCAGAGTAAAATGATTTGATCTTTAAATTGAAAGAAGAGAATAACCATGTAAATTGGCAAGAAATTCTACTTAATAACTGGTTGGATGGGAAATTGGGTGTGAAAAAAAATTCAAATGAAACGAAATGTGAATTCATTCGAACAATAAAAAAATATATTACATTTTTAAAATTGATTCAAGATCGGAACCAATTTTTTTGAACTAGTTATTGAAAATTATTTTCATTTTTAGAAATTTGAAAAAGGGAATAACATCCATCTTTTTAAAGGATATAAACTTATATCCTTTTAGATCCTAACTGTTGATTTTCGTCCATCAACGATTATAATTTATTGGATTAAAATTATTAATTAATTAATAATAAATTTGGCCCAAAAGATTATAACCGTTGATGGACGAAAATCAACGGTTAGGATCTAAAACGATATAAACTTATATCCTTTGAAAGGATAGATGTTTTTTCCTTTGAAAAAACCGAATAAATTGAAACGCGAACCGAATCAAACCGCACATTATTTGTTTGAATAATTGAATCGATTTAAAAATCAAATCATTTTTTTTAAATCAAATCATTTTTTTTAACCGATTCAAGAACCGCACATCTTTCTAAAACCGTTTGAGTTTGTCCTAACTAAACCACATATTCAGTTCGTATATAAAACCGAACCCAATCGAATGGTGCACAGCACACACCTACTAAACCACCATTTCAATTGAGGCTTCACATGGAAGAGCCAAGTGCGCTTAAAGATCATAAAAGGACCCAAGGAAAAAAGAGATGCTTCATATTAATTTAGATGGCTCTAATTCCTTGTAGCTACCTAGGTATGAAACGAACCCATTTTACTACTTCTAGGTTCTAGCGTGGCATGCTAGCATGATTTTTTTTTTATTTTTTCACTTATTAATAGAAGAAAATTAATGACTAGTAGTAGTACTCAAAACCTTTCTTATGTCACACCAAAATAGCCATATAGACTGTCTTCTTCCTTCCCCATCACTATTCTTTCTTCTTTTTTCCATTTCAATTCCCCCTTTTTGTTTGTTTAGGGTTTGAGTCACTTTTGTGGTGCTTACATTGTTTAGACAAGTGATGAGTTGGACCCCATAAGCATTTGGTTTCTCTATACTACTATTCAAATTGCTAAGACTAGTTATCTGATTTGGGTAACTGATGAGTAGTTTTTTTATGCCCTTTTACATCTTTAATTAATCACAATTCAGTTACAGTGAATAGATAAAATCATGGATACACAATCCTTTTCAGAAGTACTAAATTCAAAATCTAGCACAAGAAAGAAGCAAGCTATTTATCTATTGCTGCTAAAGTTATATAGTTCAGAATGCTTTATGCTTTCAAATATAAATGTATGTTCTGAAGAACCAATTCACTCAAAAGCTTAAGTTATCTATTGGACGTGGCTACATTAATGTTTTATATTATACTCTAATACGCCTCCTCACAAGAGAGTCCATTGGACTTGAAAGGTGAATAATGCATCAGGCTCAGCTTACTTAGCCTAAGAAATTCTACAAAGAAAATGGGGAGAGGGACGAGCATCGAACCCAGGACACGAGGCTCTGATACCATGCAAAAAATCAATTCACCCAAAAACTTAAGTGGTTGGACGAGGTTACATTAATTATTTATATTATACTCTAACATATATAATAAAAATTGAAGCCTTTTGAGAGCATATCAAGGGAAACAGAAGCCAAACTACTTTCAGTATGGTCTTTACAATTTTTCATCAGTTCAGCTGTTTATGCCATTGTCCCAGATGCCATTTGACTCTTGGGAGTAACATCAGTCCTACTAGATTAACAAGCAAACAAATCAAAGATACTCTCTGCCTAAAATTTACATTACAGGATGCAAACAATTAGTACATGTATTACCTCTATAAATATAATTGTTATCTTCAAATCAGATTCCACCAGTTCACAATAAGGGCACGATTTTTCTAGTTGCAGTCCAACTGACCAGGATAAGTTAGAATCTCAAGTCTGAATAAGAGTACTATACCTCTCTGAATTTCCACCAAATGTAGTAAAATTTCATGCCATATGGAGAAAAAGTAAAACACGAGTGAGTTGATAGTTATATGTACTATAGTTTACTGAGTATTTAGTATATAATTTGGACTGAAATGATGTAAGAATTAAGAAGTGAATATATAATTGAGTAGTATTCCCGGCATTGAAAGTTGCTTTGTACTTAGAAGCCGGAACTGAGAACCTTACGATTCAAAGGATAGACATTGGTTGATGAACAAGATGCTGGAATGATATTCCAATATGTAAACTGGTATCTTGTCATTCTGATATGCATTTGTTGATGATTCCATTCAACCTTTGCCGATGGTTTCTAAAGTGAACCCCAGAATAAGCACAAGAGTTCAAACTTGCTTTATGCAAGTAACAGTCATATTTGGTACTCACACTGCACCTCACTTTGCTCCTCCATTATTCAGATTTCTAATTTTCCATATCGAGATCCGAATGCTGGCTTGTCTTGTGAACTTGTTTTTTTTTTTTATATCCAGGCTTGAAAAATAAAATTGACAAATATGCTAGTTTACTTTTTGGTATTTGAAGCAAACCGAATTATATGTGTACGTAGTTATCATATTCCTGTCAGAAACTGCAAATCTATGTTAATTTGTTGCAAGAATAACTACTCAGATATAATTATTGCCAGAACCCAAATTTATTCTACTTTCCAAGTTAACAGAATGTACTGTCTCCAGTTTCTTTTGTTTGTTCCAATTTTCCATATACAACATTAGCAGCATCATACTGTTTGGAGTATACTAGTGGAGTTCAACTTATAGATGATAAATAACACCCCCATCGCACTAACTATTTTGAAATTAAAATATTATTTTTGTCGTTAAAAAGGTTATGATATTTTCTTGACAAAAGGACCATGGAATAAAATTGCGAAAGATAGCTAAAATGAAGGGAGATATCAAGAACTTCTCTCAACATGGTTTTGTGAAGTTGATTATCCTTTTCCTTTTCATTCTGTTGTGCACTGGGATAAGCTTGTGGTGCTCCATAACAGATTATTGGATAAATGAGAAAAGAGTAACTGTTGTCCCAGAAGATGAACGATTGACTCAAAGGATGAGAATCTACTCATTTGATGTAAGTAAACCAAGTTAAAAGTTCACACCAAAAAACTATGAAGTTAAAAGTTAGACACTAAATCATTGGGCAAGAAGACATAAAAGTTTAAACCAATATGGTTGCTAGAAACTACTTGATTTCATTAATGGGAAATGGGAGTTTACAACGACCAAAAAAGGAATAAAAGCTAGCCAAAATAAAACAAGATCTTGAAATACATAAATCTGAAGAAATGGTCATAAATAATAAGAGTTAAGATGAAAATGTAATGAATGCAAATTGATTGAGTGCTTGCAAGTAGTCTGGTTTGGTGAATTGTGTACGTAGGGATTATCTCTAATGTGGTCTTGGTCACTGCATAATTAATCATTAGGATAATTATTACTTACTTAGGTAAGCTACTAGGATTGGCCTTGTATTGAAATTCGACTATTACAAAATTAAGCCCTTTGTGCTACTATATACATTATTTGAAAGGGGAAAAAAAGAAGAAGAAACTACTACGGTCGATTCTGATCAACATCAACAGCAGTAAATTTATGTTAATAATAGTAAATGATATCCATGATCCATCGCTTGGAAAGTTATAAATCGTTCACTTGGCCTAAACATAAATAATGCAGTGACAGAAGCTCTCAAGTAATTATATTTTCTCAATAGAATAGCATGCAAATGGAATGAGAAAAGGAAGTGATAGGAGAAAAAGAAAAGAAAAGATGCAAAACAAATAAAACTTGTAATAAGAACGAATGAGTTTTACATTATAAATGACCACACACATTATTGCAGCTAGCAAGTTTGGATCCAAACCTCAAGTAAATCACCACAACCAAACGAAGTAAGCATTAGATTAGATTAGATTACATTTGGAAAGGATCTTGGGAGAGAGGTAATAGGAATCAAGTGTTATACAGGCCTGAGTTATTTAAAAACCACTACTAATAGCAAGAATGGAATTTTAAAACAATGAAGAAGGGGTTTAAATTTCAAGATGCAAATTGGTGCTCGGAGTCAGTGACTCGTGAGGCATAGAATCTAGCAATGAAAGCAGAGGCTTTCCTATCAATACCAGGCTCAGCAACCCAACGTCCTCTGTCCTCATCACTTGCAAACATTCTTCTTCCACTGTCTTCGTAATAGTACTCATCATCCCTGCTTCCACTTGAGAAACAGGCCTTGAACATGCCACAAAATGAAGATTTCTTCCCTCCCATTTTCACTTCCCTCTTCTTCTGATGATAATGAAGATGATTTGTAAGAGTCACTCTAACACTCACAAATCCTCCTTCAGGTTTTTTCAAGGAAACTTGAGCTCTAAGCTAACCTTCAGGTGAGGTCTCTCTATGATGGTTGGTTGGTTGGTAGTAGCATGGAATAGCAGTGCTTATATTTATAGGGTACAGGAAAGTCACATGCACCAGCTCCTCATGAACCTGTTATACGGCCAAAAAGGACGGTCATGATTCCCTGAAATGATTAATAAGAATGGTTATGATGGATGTAAAACTTGGAAAAAAAGCACAAGCATTCTTGTCCTCTCCTTTTGAATTGACCCTCAGTAGTTCTTCTCTCTAGGGTGATACACCCAACATTGCTTTTCTTACTATCAAAACTTTGTTTCCCCACACAAAAGATGCCTTCTTTTTTCTTATATAAATAATGCCTACGGAATTAGATTAATGCCTCTAGTCCTAACTTTGTTGAATGTGTACGTGACTTTACCTCTGCCATCTCCACAACTATCTCCAATTATTTCTGTGGGCTTCTCTTCTTTTCTTTTTTCCTCTTTCTTGGAACCTGAGAGGAATAAGTACCTTCGACCACAAGGTAATACAGGTCTTTGTTGTTAGAAAGTTTGAACTGTTACATGGAATTTTCCACTGAATTAACTTAATATATTTTGAATTGAAAATGCATCACTAGTTTACTATTTTACAGTCATTCCATCCTACTTTGCCTATACCTAACTTATATATTACTTTTATTTGATTCTTTACCTTTTTCCCTTGTTGTAAAAAAGAACCTTTCTAGAGCCAAGACTTTTTTTTATGTTTTTTGTTTGGCACGTAAGACTTTTTTAATCTTATTGAAGGCATATATATATTTGATGGGTGTCTTAAAAATCAAAGTGCAAGAAGCCTTACTAACGCTTTTATGTTATTTTTATTTGTTAACCAAACAATTTTAAATGATAATATTTGAATAATGTGTATTAATAATGTATGTGAGGATCTCAAATATATCATTAGATAATAATTAATTGGTTGGTGTTGTAGTCAAACGAGAGTTGTGTACAGCCCTCCATCAACTCTCTGCTATTATTCTGTTCACACAGGATGTTTGGAATGGGGGGAAATAAATCTTGGCTATCTTTATTAGCTAGGAATGCAACTATGCCTAAGAAGCATTAAAAAATTGCTTATAATAATACATAAACCACTTGTTTGAACCATGTAAAGTTGGACCGCGTACTTTGTACCGTATTGATTTTATCAGAAAGGAGAAAGGGAAGATTTACAAGTAAAAGAAAATTCCAAAGCCAGCTTTTGAGGGGTTCCTTTTCATGCTTTACCAAGTATAGTATATGTATTTCTGGTTAGTATATGTGCATTCTTGTTAATCTTTATGCAGAGCTAGCTAGCCATAACCGTGTGTGGTGAAGGCTGATGATAATATCTTTCAATAAAGTGCCATCAAACAAACCTCCTTAGCTTGCTCTCCCAACAGAGTGCCATCAAGCTGTCTTAACTTTATGAGATCTTAATTCTTAAGGGATCCTAAACCTGAAGGGAAGTACAGTTGGTATATGTATATTTCGTACAAATACAAATTGAATTTGATCAAATACAAGGCACAATATCTTTACTCTTTTTGATTTTGGCCTCCTTCTCCTAATCATATGCTAAAGGTCTTGGTTGTAATCACAACTCATATTATTTGTTGCTCTTTATTAATCTGTGTGTGAAAAGGGAAAAGTTAGATACCATTATGCGTACAACTATATAATAATAATCCTTCAAAAATCCACTTGCGATTTGGTAATCTTCCCGCTAATAATTGATGGCAGAGGATTATGATTGATTATTTAAGATCGTCACTTTCCATCACCTATAAATTAAATCATGTAATGTAATGTTTAGTATTCATTAAAACACTGATTAAAATGTCTATGTGCTGTTCATGTGCCCGTAGATATCTATTTGTTCATTGGTTACTTGAGTTTTTTTATTTAAGGGCAGAGTTTTCCTGAATACATGTTCAATTCTTCTTCTTTTTTATCCTCTTTTAAGTAGTAATATCTTTCTCCCTAAAACAATAACTGTAACAACAACAAAATTAATATTAATACTGTTCCGGGTTCAAAACATAGGTTTAGTCAAGCATATCTAGGCTCATAATTAGAAGAGGTCACAAAACTAAGATCTATGTCCGGATAAGATCAACCGGCTTGACACTAATATGTATAGACAAAATTCATAGTAGGAGCCTGGAATATAGTTCTAGCCCACACTTTAGTGGCACACGTGGATCCTACCACGATCTTACTAATGGCACCACTATTAACTACCCACTACGATTATAACCATTTAATAAGACCATGACCATGTATAAAGATTCTATACAGGTGAATAAGAGATAGATTACTCACAAGATTAACCCTTTAATTTTCATACATAACAAATACAATTATTTGTTTATTATAACGAGATCGCTAAGTTCTAAGTAGTTGGGTAGAGTACTAAAGTCGTTCATCATTTGAGGGGTATAATTTCCACTTTGTTTTCTAGTTTATAATGATGGATGGAATGGACACACAACCACTGAAAATAAAATGCACCAAAACACTATTAACCCAAAACAAAAAAATTCTCAAAATAGGCCTACAACATTCAATGGTTATTAAAAAAAATATTATAGGGCCCAAAAATTTTGTGATAATCCATATAATTTCACAAGAGTTTTAATTAGATTTCTGAATTCAATTGATCTATTGTTAGAATACTGTTATAAACTTTAATTATGCTTTTAAGATTATTGTACCGAAAAAATAATGGCCCAATTGATTTTTTTTAAAATATTTGAACTATATCGAATATTTTAAAAATAATATACAGGACTTTAAATTAATTTAACCTTGTATATCCTAAAGTAAGAATTGTCATTCTTGTGGAATAGAGGCAGAAAATACAATCACTGCATTGCATATCAAATGCAAGCCAAAGCCCATTATTCACTTCTATTGAAATTCAAAGCTCTGAACACGACCAAAATTCTCAAGGCCCATTATTCTATAACAGCCTATTGGAAGTCTTGTGTGTCCATTGCGACTCATTAGAACCTTTAATGACTTGGATTTGTTTCTTGATGCGAAATTCGGGCTACATATCTCTTAATTTTTAAATCCACAATAATATTAAAGCCCAAATGCTTTTTTGTCCTTAGAAATTTAATATCCAGTCATTAGATACTTTAAATATATTCTTGTATCGTTAATGGTTGTAACTTGTAGCCAAAAAATAACTAATTATGATTAAATTCAAGTTAATTGTATTGTGTGTGTGTGTGTGTGTATAGACTAAAAGAATTAATTGATTGAACATCCAATTCAACTAATTAAAAATTAAAAGTATCGTGTAAAGTCATCAAGAAAAAAAAAAACATGTAAAGAGACAAACATGATTTTTTAGGTAGCATACCAGGATATATGAAATTCCATCAAGAAGTAGAACTCACGCTTATTAATAAAAAAATTGCTGGTAGCGAAGAATTGAAAGTTTTACAAGTAACATATTTCAAGTTCTACCAACCAAACCGACCTTTTTTTCAAAGATTTCATTTTTCTTCCCGCTGAGCTCTCAAGGGATTGCTTGGTGCAGGGATCAAACCCTGCTTCAAGCAGTTTCTTGAAAAATCTTTGGGGGCCAGAGGATAAGCCAAAAAATCTTCGATTGGGGGATTAGTCTCGTCCTTTCTCTGGTTGCGAAGCTTAGTGCACCCACTGTTACAATGAGGGGCTAGCCCAAACAGGCCGTACCCCGAGGGCATGGTGCCCGGAGAAGGTTGAATGAGAATACCTCCTAACAATGTACCAAAAAAAAATAAATGGCAGAGCCATCATGTACAAAAAAATAAAATAAAAATGGAAGACCCGTCCAATGTGATTCGTTAAGAAACTTAATTGAACTTGCTAAAATTTCATAATACGATTGGGTGGTAGAGCAACGTGTGTAATGGGTAAGTCTGAGAGTCATGAGATCAAACACATGATTCAAAATCTCAAATCACCGTCACATCACATCTCACTAATTATTTTAGTATTTTTGTTAAGAACATCACATGTAATTTTTGTTTAAATATAAAAATAATTATACAATACACTGTATAGTAACAAGTTTGTAATAAAATATTAAAATATGGCCAAATTGTGGGCCGAGTGAGACAAAATAAGAAAGAAGGAAGCTTCGTTTGTTGCCCACCCATTTGATTCATCGCCTTTTCTTCAATAATTAGTAACGTTTCTCATGTTATTTTCTTTTGGATAGGATATTATCACAACTAAATAATGTTATTATCAATGTTACTATCATATTTTAATCGTTTATTTTCGTCAATCAACGGTTATCATTTATCAAATCAAACTCATTAATTAATTATTAATTCGTAATAAATGATAACCGTTGATTGGCGGAAATCAACGGTTAAGATGTGGTAGTAACATTGGTAGTAACATTATTTGGTTGTTACAATATCCTATCCCATTTTCTATTTACGGATAAAAGTATATGATAAGTACATGGTGTTCATGTGAAATCATATAAATAAATAAAAAATATAAGTTTCATATATTATTATATATATATATATATATATATATATAAATAAATAAAGGAAAAAATATTTTTTCTTTTAAATAATATAATTTTTATATCATTTCATTTTCACAAAAAGGTGAGATTCGCATCTTTATTTTTTTTTGTTCACTCTTTCTTTCTCATAATCTCTCTCTTTCTCTCGTTTAAAATCACACAATTTTACTTTCTTTAAAATTACAGATATTTTTTTTCGTATATAAGAAATAAAACTATTTCTTATACCATAATAATCATTAATTTCTTATTAAATTAATGCGAACGTCATTGTCATCGTCATTAATATCATCATCCCCATGTGCTTTATTTTAATCTCATTTGCGTAGACATTCACATGCCTTACGTACGGATCACTTTCAGTTTTTTCGTGGACCGCATTTTCCTTTACCGTTCACATTCATTGTTGCTCTTGTTCTTCCTCCTTCTCAATCTCACCTAACGTCTTTCCCTTTTCGTCGTTTCTCCGACAAGTTCTTCCTTGATTGCATCGAACGCTCTTATGGAGGAAGTTAACGGTATTGTCTATATCTCACTTTCATTGCCATTTGTGGGTTCTGACTTCTGATTTTATTTCAACCACTTAATTTAATTTTCCCTGATTCCAAGGTTTCATTTTCATTTTCTATTTTTTGGATTTTTATGACTTTGGGGGTTTTCTCGCTTACCCTTTTCATTGGTTTGCACTCTGCATTAATTTTAAAGCACAAGTCCTAATAAGTCTGAAAAAAGATCTTTGCTTTTTGGAATTGTTCTGCAACAGCCAACAGAACATGTTAGGCTGTATATAGATAGGTCTTATTTGGAAATCGTTGAGGATGATTCTGCTGAACAAATATTGTGTAGAAAACAATGTTCAATATACTTCGTTGTGTTAATTTATGTATTATTTTCCTTCTTTATTATTCCAGTGGTGGAAACTAAGGATGGAACTGTTTCAGTAGCTTCTGCGTTTGCTGGTCACCAGGAAGGTAATGCTTCTGCATATTTTCAGCTTTCTTGTTTTACGCTTTTTTTGTTTAGGTATCCATGGCTGACTTATTGAGACATTGAGATTTGAGGCCCTCTCCTCTTTCATGATATTCTGCTGTGGTTAGGCCTGCCTTAGTTATTTCTAAGAATTTTTCTTATCATATCATTTCATTAAGTAGAAAAATGAGTTTATGATTCATATTGGTAAACATTGGCTTGATGAGCAAATTATGTATCCAATCTTTCAAAGCACATATATGTATATGGTTTTATTTTTTTAAATGAAAAGCAACTATTTGGAGTTTTTTGTTTTGCCTGATCGATGTTGTACTGGCCTCTTATTACTTTTCTTCTGGTGTTGCCATTGCTAAATAGCTGTGCAGGATAGAGACCACAAATTTTTAAGAAAAGCAGTTGAAGAAGCATACAAAGGGGTAGATTGTGGAGATGGTGGCCCTTTTGGTGCTGTTATAGTTTGTAGTGATGAAGTAGTTGCTAGTTGTCACAACATGGTTCTGAGTAACACAGACCCAACTGCTCATGCAGAGGTGACAGCAATAAGAGAGGTCAGATTATAAATAACCAAATGATTTCCTTGTATGGCAGGAAAATGCATCTTTTCTCTTGTTAAATATCGGTATTGAATTCGTGTTTTTCTGACTGAATTAGCATTCATCACTCACTGCACAATATGGTGTCCTCTCAAATTTGATTATTGATTCTTCGAATCCAATGCTTATTAATTTCTTGTAAATGTTTGGAAGGGGATATCCATAGTCACATAGAATTATTTTTCAAGGTTTTCCAAACAACTCTATATAGAGGAATCCAGTTTGTAGGTGGCTATTTTATGATGTTGACTCAAGAGATCTACTGATTATGAATCTGCAAGCATTGATTTCACATGACTAAAGGATTTAAAGCATCAACATAACAGACACTGCTTCTAAAGATACCACTCAAACTTTATCATGTCTATTAGTTTTAGCTTAATGTGGGCAACTGTTAAACCACTCATTAGTATCATTTTTTATGTACAAACATGCCTGTTTTCTCTATTCCCGCGAATGCAGTATGTAAAATGGCCAAATTTTATTTTACAGTGGTCAAATAAGGGTCTTGAACTTATGTTCAGTTCCGTCGGTGCAAGAAAAATAAAATGGGGTTCCTGTGGTTTCAGTGAACACCTGCTGGAAAGTGGCTAGATCTCTGTTAATATTTGTTGTTGAATTTGTTAGGTATGCTACTGAAAGATTTGACAAGATTTTACGTTATACTTATACTTATGATTTGAGGCTATGCACGCTTCAGGGTACTGTTGTCTCTTTAAATACTTATATCTAGATGATGAATCAGATGAAAATGCTGCATCATGCTGAAGAATTTAAATAAATAAATAAATAGTTCTGCCAGAATTTACATATTGTTGCCTCACTTTTTGAACAACAGCTTAATGATTAGTCATCATTTTGATACCTAGAATCACTCCATCTCGTTTTTAGAAAGGCCAGCTGAGACTTTATAAGCTCTTAAATTCCAAAAGAACTAAAAACTGATTGTTTTACTTTGTGTCCCTTTTTCAAATACTTTAGATGTAGCAAACTTTATGTAATGGAAAATAAAAACAAAAAATGATTAACGCAGTGCTTTCAATTTACAGGCTTGTAAGAAGCTTAAGCAGATAGAACTTTCAGATTGTGAAATATATGCTTCTTGTGAACCTTGCCCCATGTGCTTTGGTGCAATTCACCTTTCTCGAATCAAGGTTGGAATGGCCTGCTTTTCCTATGTTTCTCTTTTACACCAACTTTATCCTGTTTTGAGCAATAACTTGTTACAATATTCTTTTCAAACAGAGGTTGGTTTATGGAGCAAAGGCTGAGGCGGCAATTGCTATTGGGTTTGATGATTTTATTGCAGATGCATTGCGAGGTACTGGATTCTATCAGAAAGCACAGTTAGAGATTAAAAGAGCTGATGGTAATGAGGCCATCATTGCTGAAGAAGTTTTTCAGAAAACAAAGGAAAAATTCCAAATGTATTAGACCTGTCATTTATTTTTCACACCTGATGACAATTGGCTATTCAGGATTGGCTTCGTTTAAATTATTGAAATTTGTTGATAAATAGATTGAGCTCATTTGAGTGTAACAAAGTTATATGCTACAATTCAGATTGCATCAGATAGTGACTATCTGGTTGTCAACCGGTTCTTATATACATTGGAATTGCATCAATTGATGTATAACTGCATGGGTACTAGAATTTGCTACCTTACAATTTGGCTCTGCTGGTAAAGGAGAATATGCTACACTGCAAAGATTTTTTATTTTTTATTTTTAGTGCCTAACAATTTAACATATATATATATATATATATATATATATATATATATATATATATATATATATATATATATATATATATATATATAAGGTTAGGAAAGACCAACTCAAACAAGGGGGAGGAAGTTTTGACTAATAAATATACAAACTACAAACAATCATTGACACATTTTCACCTATAGCTATAGGGATTAGATGGATCGCATCCTGTGATCGGAGTGTTACATTGGCCATTATTTTCTTGCCAATCGCTTCATAGTTTGTTCGTACTCTTGCTATTACCGTACTTCCCTCCTTCCTTTCAATGTTAACAGAAAAATATTGTGGCTATATAATTTATGGAAAAGTTCAAAAACCCTGGTGTGGTATTGCTTTGAATTAATTACATTATATATTTTTTTAAGGATTCGTATTTTCTACCGTCAATGTAGATAACTTATCTACATTGAGTCCAAAATGACGTCGTTTTGAGGTGGAAATGGTATTTTTATAATTATAATTTGTTTTAGGGTTATAATAGTCTTTTTTATTATAATTTTTAATTTTTCAACCCAAAACGACGTCGTTTTGGGAGCGAGTGTAGATAAGTTATCTACATTCACTATAAAAACATTAAAGCTTTTTTTTTAATCACTTAATTTTCTGTAATTTTTTCTATTCACACCCTTCCTTAACACTATTAGAAAATTAACTAAGTATATATATTCTTTTTTTTTTGGAGTTACCCAACCCTAATTATCTCTTTGAGACGAGTTGGCTCCCTCCGGTATCCCCACGAGCTTCGACTCTTTGAGCTGGCTATGGGACTAATCCGGAGTGCGGGGGAACAGTGATGGTTAAAGGTTCAGCCCCCTCCACAAGTATATATATTCTACTATTCTTAGAAGAAAATAAAGTGATAAAAAAGAAAAGAAAAATAAGATCAAATATTATGAAAAATTAGAACACTTCATCAAAAACAAAAAAAATATAGTAAAAAAAATCAAATATGTCTAAATAAATAAATATAAATATATATATATATAAAGAAAAAAGAATAAGAAAAAAATTGAAGAAAAAGAAATCACAGTTGTGAATTTTCAATATATTTTCTTTTTTTTTGGTCCTTGGTCTATTTATTCTTTTTATTTAGATAAGTTTGATCTTTTTTATATATCCATTTTATTCTCTCTTTTCTTTTTAATTTTCTTTTACGAAAATATTTAGTAGATGGGATGGCACAAGACTAAAAAAAAAATCGAGAATAAAATATCCGAAAAATAAAAATAGAAAAAAGAAAAAAATATCTAAATAAAAAAATTAAATAGACCAAGGACAAAAAATAAAAGAAAATATAAAACTAAACATACTAAAATCTCATAACTGTGATTTCTTTTTATTTTATTTTTTATCTTAAATTTTTCTTCTAGTTTTTAGTTTTTAGTTTTTTTTATTTGGACTATTTTTATTTTTTTAAATTTTAATGTTTTGTGTAAGTGTTGTGATTTTTATTATAATTAGTCTTATTTTTTCTTCTATTTTTTTGTGTGGATAAATCACAAGTATCTTCCACCGGAGAAACAATCATATTCGGGGCGGGTTCAGGATTAAAGCATTAAATTCCTTCTATCCAAAGATGATACAGCGAAAGATCAAACACATCTTCTCACCACCACTTGATTAGCTTACATGCGGCATGCGCCAACAGAGCTACTATCATTTGCTTTCTTCTATTTTTTTTGTTTTCTTTTCTTTTCTTTTTTTATACATTTTTTTTGACACATTTGATTTTTTTTACTATTTTTTTTTAATCTTTTATTAAGTGTTTTTAAATCTTTATAACATTTGGTCTTTTTTTTTTATCAATTTATTTTTTCTTTTAAGAAGAGTGAAATAAGTATATTTAGTTAATTTTCTAATAGGGATATAAATGATTCAAAGCAATATTATAGGAGAATTTTTAAATTTTTCCCTATAATTTAAGTGGGATCACATAATTTAAACTATTAGGAAATTTGTATTGAATACTTTTCTTCTATCAACAAAAATTATGCCAACCATTTTACCTTAAAAATAATAAAAACAGTCCCCTTACCATAAAATAAAAATATAAACACTCCAGCTGTGAAGATCGTCATGTTTTACTTAGGAAAGACTTTTCATCTTTTCTATAATCGAGGAACAATATTTATATATTTTTTATTACTGAGTGATGTACTTATAATTTTTTTGTTATCATTAAATTAAAATAATTTTAAGAGATCGTAAACGAGGCCGGCAAAACGGGTTCGGTTCGGCGGTACGATCCATTCCGTCCACTAAATTGAATGGAGTTGGCTGAGTTTTACAACTCATTTTCAAAAGTAGGGCAAGGCAGATGAGCTCATTTTTTAGCGGATTGATGACAAAGTGAGCTAGTGTAAATTAAATTTGGACTGACATATCGAGTTTTACCGCCCACTCTAAAAAAATAGACAGACTGACTCATTTTTAATTGGTTGAGGACGAGACGGAACGAACCACTTACTTTGTCACTTATAGTCTTACTTTTATTATTAAGAGTAAATACCCTTTGGTCCTCAGCAAATTTCACGATATCCGTTTTAGGTTCTAGCAAATAAAAAGGCTCATCGTGGTCCCTAAAAATTTCAAAATGGACCAATTTTAGTCCTTTTGAGGACTAATATGGGTCTTTTTTGAATTTGTGAGGACCACGATTTCAATTAAATAAGTTCATTTTGAATTTTTTCGGGATCAAGATAGGCCTTTTTATTTACTAGGGACTAAAACGAGTATCGTAAAATTTGCTGAAGAGTAAAAATGGTTTTTACTCTATTATTAATTTAGTTTAAAGTATCGGATGAGATGAGATGTTGAGCGGGTATTGCGGTGTTTGTGAGGTCAACGCAATGGAGAAAACACAAAACTAAATATATAGATTATTATTACTCAATTATATATAAATCATTTACTCAGTCATATTCATATGATCAATCATCACAAACCCTTTTAGTTTCCTCAATGATGAACGACTCGGTCAAGTTTTTTTTGGCCATACCATTCTAAAACTTGAACTGGTCAAGTGTGTATGAAGGGTGACCAGCGCCGCTTTTCTTTACCACCTTATTCCTTTTCCTTGGATTGGATGTTCATATGACTTGGAACCAACTCCATATTTTTTGGTCCTTTTGATGAGTAAACCCTCTTTTGAATTGACATTTTTCTCTCTTTTGAAATTGCAAACCAGTGCCCCATACTGCAAGCAAACACGGCAATTGGACTATCCTACTTCAGAGTTTACCTTTATTTTATAGCTTTAACAGGCCCACACCGTCCTTTCCTTTCAAAAATGACTCTCTATCTCTCTCATCTTTTCCTTTTTTTCTTCAAAGGGATATATATATATGATAATAGGTCAACATACATTTTATTCAAGTAATCATGGTTAAGGACATGCACAGGCAATATTGATGAACAAAAGGAAGAAATAAAAGAAAATCAAGATGTATATTTTTACGTACAAGTAACATTACTCTTCTTTTTTTTTAGTAAATATATTTTTGAGTCCCTAACAAAAAATATGATCTCCATTTTAGTCCTTTACAAAAAAAAAATTAGTCGATTAATCCCTATGAAATTCAAAATGGACTCATTTTAGTCATTTTGAGGGACTAATATGGGTCTTTTTTGAATACGTGAGGGATCACGATTTCAACTAAATGGATCCACTCTGAATTTCTCATGAACATCGAGACTAATTTTTTTTTTTTTTTTTGTAAGGGACTAAAGTGGAGACCGTGTTTTTAAGTATCAAAAAAAGTTTTATTTTTTATTTTTTTTGGTGTGGCAACTAACATTACTCTTCTTGAGAATATATCGTCATGATGAAAACAAGACACAAAAAAATGGTTTCTTAACTTAAGCACCGTGCATCAATCACAAATTTGAAGGCTAATTTGGATTATTTTAGATTTTCCTTCTAATCTATACGTACGTACTAGAATAATATATATATACCCAGTTGAATTTTGAAGTTTTAGCAGTATTTTCACGGGAAGTTTCAATATTGGGAGTTGACGAAGCTCACTTATTGATCATATTCCTGACACGTTGGGTTGGTGTATAGTCTTTTTTTTTTACTCTCTTGTCAAAATTTTGGGAGAAAAAATATGTATAAAAACAAAAGACATTCTTGTCGAGTAAATCAAAAGTTTAAGTAATATTTTATGAAGTGACGGATAAATTTACATTCGTATAAAAATGATAAATTTTATATTTAATTTTAATCGTTGATTTTTATGTAACAAATAATTGTAATTGATTAAGTTACTCTCTTTAATTAATTATTAATTTTTAATAAAATATAATTATTTGATATACAAAAAGTGCCGGTTAAAATTGAATATAAGATTTAATAGAAATACCCTGCCCTTAAAACAGAAAAAATAAACTTATATGCGAATATATTTTTTTTGCCTTATGCTTATCCAGTCAGGTCAGATTTATTTATCTGCATATATACATGACATTCAAATTGAGTCCCATGACCAAATGCTGACAACCAGACACTAACAATTAATAAACAGCTGCGCCATGCCATGTCTTTGGTTGAATAAACAAAGACAATGAAAGATAACTTCTTTAGAGATAGATGCTAAAGGACCAGTGGATGAAGGTTAGAATCACATTTAATGTTCAAACTTCAAACACTTATAAGTCAAACCCTTTGATGCAAGCAGATGTATCTGTCTAATATATAAAGGAAAAATGTTTGTACTTATAAATGACATAACTTATATCATTTTATTTTTATAAAGAGGTGAGATTCATATTTTTATATTTTTTTGTCCACTCTCTCTTTCTTTATCTATCTCTTTTTCTCAGTTAAAATGACATAATTTTACGTACCTTAAAATGATACACATTTTTTTCATTATATAATCAGCTTTTTTAAAATAAAAAAACGTTGGTGAAATGGTAACATTGGTACTTTGTAAGCTGGGTAATTTTAGATTGCAATTGTAAAGTAATTAGGGGTGTTATGTTATTATTATTTTTAAAAGATGTTGATTTAAATGGTAACCCATGAGATGTGGTGACATTTTGCAAATAATAAGATTTAAATTTGAGTATTCTTATTTGAGGATTAGAAGATTTATCACTGAATCACTTTTATTTATTAGATATAATATTCATAATTCAATGTTTATTATATATTATTTTGAAATATAACATTATTTTGACCGAGTTAATAATAGGCAGAATTTAAAAACACTGGTTTGATGGGAATTGTGCCCGTTAACTTCATCATCACACTCACACCCCAATTTCGGTACCTTGTATAGGTCGCTTATTTTTTAATAAATCAAACAAACTCGTAGCCTGTCAAGAACAGGACCATACTTCTTCAACCTGAGTCACACAGCATTTATCGTTGTCTTCTTCCTCTCACTGGATGAAGGGAAACGAAGTCATCTAGAATCCCCTTTGATTTTTTATTTTTTTATTTTTGGTAAAAGTATCCTCTTTGATTTTGTTTTCCATGCAGGATGCTTCTATAGTTGACTTACATTTAAAGGTGCATATTACTTTTTAGAATTGAATCTAAAGATATTTAACGTGTATAAAGAATCAATTCAACCCAAAATCTTAAGGTATTAATAGTTTATGTTATTCCCTGACACATCCCTCTACGTAAGAGCCTTTGGGTTTTAAGTGTAGATATTGCACCGGCTCAATTTTTTGATTTATCTTGTTATTACTTTAATTTCACTAAAAAATAGAGGACGATGAGGATCGAACTCTTGACCTTATGGTCATTGAAGTGATATCATGTACAGAATCATTCCAACTCAAAACCTTAAGACCTTAAGGTACTGGATGAAAGTCTTTTTAATTGTTTATATTATTCTTTAACACACACTCCTCGCGTAAGAGCTCTTTGAGCTTGAAATATAGATATTATATAGGATCAAATTTTTATTTTTATTTTGTTTACCTTATGCTTATTTAATACATAGTGGAAGGTGATAAAGATCGAACTCGTGACCTTATGATCCCTGAAGCTCTAATAACGTGTGCTTCAACCTGTCACAGGATTAAGAGATCTCACAATGAATACAAAATTAATGTAACATATTTTAATCAAGGAATGGTCATGTAGTCTATAGTAAAACACTTTCTTTAGAAAACATTTAATACTGCATTCTTGTTTAGCCTACTCTTCCTTATCCTCTTCACCAAGTCTTAAGACCTCCTTTGTACAGCCAAAAACAAATCTCTCTACATTATAACCTCATTTTATGAATACCTTTGATTAACTTTAAGCAAAAAAATTCTCATCAATATAACTTATTTCATTTTTTTTTCCTTGCTAGCTTCTCCTTGTCTAGTCATTATCTCCTCCACTTAAATAAGTTCATTTTTATATTTTACGTGGAAAAATTCTTGACAATTAGCGGAATTAGACATATATGGAAAAATAGACAAGTAGAAAAGTAGACTTATAACAAAGACTACACTAATTTGTGTGTATAGGAGAGGGAGCCTTTATATGGTTTTGTAGGCAAGCTACACGAGAACATCAGGTATATATATGCATATCTGATATTACCTTCTGAGTAGCAGTGACTGGCATATAAAAGCTATAGAAATGGAAGGCAAAGTTGCATTAAAAAAATTGCTGCAAGTTCAGGAAATGCTATATGATAATACAGATGCATTGAACAGGACTGAAGAACCCTCCATAAAAAACACTGTAAGTTTCCATCCATTTTATGTTGTATATATATTACTTCCTAAAACTTCACCTTGGTCTCTCACTATTTTTAATTACTTCGTTTTTTGACTACTTCTTTCGTTTATACCCCCAACATAGAAATTCTTCAGATTAATCATCTATGTATCTGTGTGAAGCAGATTCTGTCAGTTATATATGTACCAAGAAGATCATTGCAGTTATCTTTATAAGCTTATCAGTACTTACATGCACCATGCTTTTGAATTATGTAATGATCTTTTTTTGCTAACTCACATGGGTGGTTGAATTGTGCAGCTTCTTAGTTTGAACATGAATAACTCAGATTCTCCTCAAAATCAAGAAGAGCAGCCCGTGACCCAAGTGAGTAATCTTTGATAAGTTTATAAACCAGGCTACACACGAGCACCTATTATTTTCAATCTGCATAAATTTTGATTGATGCCTCTTTTGTGTTGTACATTTTTTGGGTTTGGATTTTAGTTGGACTTTCTGAAAATTAAGCTAGAGGAAGTGAAGAAGGAGAATCAGAATTTAAGATCTATGCTAAATCAGATTAGTGAACACTACGGAGATCTTCAGAATCGGTTATTGTTAGCCATACAGCAGCAACTATCTTCATCACATGGAAATGATGATGACCTGCTGGCAAGTTTGACTTAAAATTTGTTTCATATATGCTTATTTGATAAATAATTCATTATTGTTCTATTGCACTTATTATGAAATTTATATCAGTATTAACTTGGTCAACGTAGATTTTCAATACCTGCAATTAGCAATTATTGTTCTCACTGCTTTTAAGACCAACAGTAGCACAATGATGCTGAAAAAAGTATTATTTTTTGTATTTATTTTAAAATTAACATCACATGGATTCTGCTTAATATCATCAATCTAAAGTACTAGGAGAGTGGTAGTGGTTAATTAAACTTTAGAATAAAGACCCAAATTGGTCCCTGACAAAAAATTCGGTGGCCAATTTAGTCCCTAAGAAAAATAAACTCAAAAAATAGTCCCCAACAATGTCAAACAGAACCCACGTTAGTCCTTCTGTCAAATGAAAATTGACGGAGTGAGTGACGGTGCTGATGTGTCACGTTAAGTGACATGCGGTTGCCCACGTGGAGTGCTTGGACGACGTCATTTGTTGAAGCTCAGCCACGTTGGACACAAAGTTCTCTTTCATCGAAGAAACATCGTCGTTTGTTTGTTAGGGTTCAACTAAAACCAGAAAGCATAGCATCGAATAGAAGGTTGAACGCATGATTTTGGGGAAAATTAATGTTCGGTTTAGGGAAGGTGGGTGTATACTGTTCGATTTAGGGTTGATCTTTAGGTTTATGCCATGATTATGTCTTCTGGAAGGGGGAGCTGAGGTAGTTCGTTTAGGTCCAGAAGTGGAAGAAGGAGAGCTGCTCCAAGACACCTAGAAACCCTAATTGAAGACATGGCAATGTTCATTTTTAGTAGGGTGGAGTGAAATGTTCATTTTTAATCTGTATTTGCTTATCTGCAGTATGTATGTTACAGATTAAAAAGTCTGTATTTGCTTAAAAGTCTTAACTTACAGAGAAGCATGTATGAGTCTCTTTAGAGTGGTTAATGTAGAGTATGAAGTTCTCTGTAATCTGTATTTGCTTATCTGTAATGGAATGTAGATAAGCACATTCCAATCTGTATTTGCTTACCTAGAAACCCTAATTGAAATGTACACTTTTAAAATGGTTAATGTCCTTGAACGTTCATAAAGCACAACCTGCTAAGTATTAAGTTATCTTGAAATGCCAATTAAAAGGTCAAAAGACTGTATGAGCTTCTGTGGATTGAGGGAATGCCAGTAACAACAAGGATTGAGCTTCTGTGGTAACAGCTTTTGGTGCCCCTTTGGTGTTTACTGTCATGTCATGCAGGGACTAATTTGGGCCCCGATGAATTTGTTAGGGACCTATTTGTGCAAGTATAAATAATAACAGGGACTAAAATGGTCCTCGATAACAATTGTGGGGGACTTATAAGGTATAAATGGGACCAATTTGCCAAGCAATTTGGTAATGACCCCAAAATTCAGGTATGTTTACACATGACCCTAAAATGACACAGCATACAAAATATAAACACGACAAGCAATTTGCCAAAGAGATGGGAATGACAAAAACAAAAATTAGTATTGCCTGACAGTATAGAAAACAATCATGACAGTGAATATAGATAGTAAACCAAACTGACATAATCTTCCATTCATTTCACATCAATGACAGCAATGAAAACTAGTAATGACATAAGAGATTTAGTAATCCAAAAAACATATTCCATTGATATCATGACTGTGTACTTACAATTGGCACTGACATAATAAACCATTAAGTAGGAACACTCTGTCTTCCCAAAAAACAAAGTGTTCATACTTAATATGGCCATAACCAGAGGCATACCAAAAAAAGCCATAGGTGAATAATCTAAGCAGGGCCAAAACCAAAGTAAACCAAAAAACTGGCCTAATTACAATTCCAAGCTACTGGCCTAATAACAAAAAAATGCCAACTGAGACATTCGAACTGGCCTAATGTCAGTGATTACAATTCCAATTCAGTTATGTGGGGCTGGCCTAGGTGGCCTGAATCCTGGTGTAGTCATGAAGCTCATGAATCTTGCTCTGGTGCCACTGCTAGCTGCAGCTGCTGTCTCACTGGTCACTTCTCAGCAGGATTGCATGGTGGTGGGCTGCTGCCTCTTGGTTCAGCTGCATTTGGTGCATGCTGGCTGCTTGTCTCTGGTGGAGGGCAGCCCTGACTCATGCTCATGAGGATCTCTTCAACTGTCCTTGACTGGCCAACTTCAACATCAACTTCAACTTTCAATGTCCATCTCTGGCAATGAGTCCACCCTTCCATATAAATAGTTCATAACTTCATCTTCATCTCTGACAAACATACCACCGTGATGATAAACAATCACTATGTATTCGGACATCTGTCAAAAACAAAAAACCAATCATATCATTAAACCATGAAGCCACAGACTTTGAAAGTGTTAAAAAATAGTTAGCAAAAAAAAAAACAAGATTTTTTATGGATGGTGACATGTATTCCAACGAGTAACATAGGGTTTTTAAATGGGTCAACCATGACAGGGACCACACCACTCGGTTGTTACTTTGTTTTAAAACAAAACCGTATATGGAAACATGAACCACAATGTTCCACTTCGTGCATTAAACAAAGGGGAACAACATAGGGACCACAAGCATTAAACAAAGGATGACAAACAACAATATAAAAAGGTTTCAACATTTAAATACTCATACATTTTCAACGGAATGCTCAGCCTCACAAAGTTCCCAAATTTGGCCCTTCTTTCTTCCACTGGTTCCCTTCGATTCTGGAAAAAGTTGGCAATATTCTAAACGCAAGCACCAGGGTTTGCTCGACGGTCTTCTTCCTTCCTTCTCAACAATGAAGTGTCGATGTTAGAAGAGGGGGAAAAGGTAAAGTGTCCAACGATTAGGTGAGGGGCAAAATTGGGTTTTACAAAAGAGGGTTGTCCAGGTGGCTTCGTTTGGAACAAAACGACGTCGTCCTTCATCTCCACGTGGGCAACCGCATCTTAACGTGACACATCAGCACCGTCACTCACACCGTCAATTTTGAGTTGACAGAAGGACTAACGTGGGTTCTGCTTTACATTGTTGGGGACTATTTTTTGAGTTTATTTTTCTTAGGGACTAAATTGGCCACCGCATTTTTTGTCAGGGACCAATTTGGGTCTTTACTCTAAACTTTATATGCTCTTCGCACTAGTTTTTGAACAAATTGATTAAAGGAATAAATCATGTTTTTCTTCATATATTTAGAAGGACAACGTGCAAGATGATGACATGGAGAAACCAGTGTTACCCACCAGGCAGTTCTTAAATAGTTGTAACAAAAGACCTTCAGATGGCAGCACAACAAAAGTATTTGCATATCCTGAAAACATTGAGAAGAACATAGGCAAAAACCTTAAATATGCTTACAATGTTGAAGGTAAAACCAATAAGCAAATAACAACATCACAAGAAGCAAAAATCAAAGAAGATCAAGCATGTGTGGCTTCTTGCAGGAAAGCTAGAGTGTCCATAAGGGCAAGATCAGATTTTTCTTTGGTATGGATTTCTATCTTATTTTGTAGATTTTTCTTTTATAGGGTTGGTATTAATTTTAGATTATATAACATCTATCATTTTATGCAGTCAATTTACTATTTAAAATGAAATATATATAATTGAGGAGAACTATATATGATTATTCATTGTCATTTTTATTCTCAGATGGGTGATGGGTGTCAATGGAGAAAGTATGGACAAAAGATAGCAAAGGGTAACCCTTGTCCCAGGGCCTACTATCGTTGCAACATGGGAACAGCATGTCCAGTTCGTAAGCAGGTTCATGAAGATTTTTTCTTCCTGGAGTCAGCATAATATATACTTTCTTGGCATCATTTAAAGTGCTTTCTCCTTTATTAGAATGTATTATTAGTAACCAACTTCTGTTAACTATTGACATATATTTGATGTTAGTTAGAGAGGAGAATCCTAAATTCAGTTTAATAAATTTCCTTATTCTACATCTACGCTTTATTTTATATAAATTGTGTGTTTGAAATATAGGATTAGTATTTCTGGCTGTAGGAAATGATTTTCTCTCTTACACACACATAAAAGTATGTGAGATCTATATTTTTTTTTTCTCTCTTCTTTTCATATGGGTCACACACACTTTTATGTGTGTAGGAGATAAAATTATGTCCTACACATGAGAAACATTATTCCCTTGAAATATATATACTTAAGAAATATATAGCTCTCATGTCACTGCAGATGGAAAAAAGTGCAGCAACATTTATTTTTCTCAGGATACGCGTGCGGATCCTGATGTTTTTTTTTTTTTGTTAGGCCAGGACACGACCACGTATCCTAGTGTTAAAAATTTGCTGCAACTTTTCTCATCAGCAGTGAAAGGAGAACCGACGGACCCATATACTTAATAGTAGTGTTAGAAAATAGAGTAAATACCCTTTTGGGTCCCTAACAAAAAACACGGTCCCCATTTTAGTCCCTTACAAAAAAAAATTAGTCGTTTGGTCCCTATGAAATTCAAAGTGGACCCATTTTAGTCCTTTTGAGGGACTAATGTGGATTTTTTTTGAATTTGTGATGGACCACGATTTCAATTAAATGAGTCTATTTTGAATTTCTTAAGGACCTCGAGACTAATTTTTTTTTGTAAGGAACTAAAATGGAGACCGTATTTTTTGTTAGGGACTCAAAATGGTATTTACTCTAGAAAATACCGGTCACTATATATTTCCTTTCACAGGCAATTTTTAGAGTTGATTTTTTGGACAAATTCAATTAACAACATCAGTTGCTAGTTTTCAAAAAATTGGAAGCAAATCATCAGTCCAAGGTTATTGATAATTCTTGTCTTCCCCCTAGGTCATTCACTTCATAACCATTCTAGTTTGTCTGTCTGAAGCTTTGAAGAAACTTGGCATTCATATCTGTCTTTCCATAATTTTGTAGTAAACTCTCTTTTATGATGCTATATGGCTTGAAAGTGTCTTGCAAAGTTTACTTTAAGATATGTTATTTACATTGTAACAGGTTCAAAGGTGTGCTGTGGATGAAACTGTTCTCATCACAACATATGAGGGGAATCATAATCATCCACTCCCACCGGCAGCCAGATCCATGGCGAGCACAACATCAGCAGCATTGAGCATGTTCCTTTCTGGCTCAACCACTAGTTTACATGGCAGCACTCTATCAAATTCAGGCCTCTTCTCTTCATTATCTAGTTCTGCCTCCACTGGTTTTGCTACGGTTTATCCATCTGCATCATGTCCTACTGTAACATTAGACTTAACCCTGCCCTCTAATAATTACTCAACCCAACCATTTCCATTGTCATTGCATGATGGTTACACTCAGCAATCTGAGGGGTTGTATTTGTCTTCTAAGCTTCCAACCTTGATACCCTCTGAGAAAAACCTTGCCTTGGTGGATGTTATCAGTGCAGCTATAACCAAGGATCCATCTATAAAGGCAGCATTGGTTGCAGCTGTTTCCTCAGTCACTGGTGCAACTCAGAACATCAATAACCACAGCCAGATTGGTAGAAATGCATCAACACTGAACCACTGATCAATTGATTTAGAGTGGATAATATTATTTGATCGGGAAATTGATAAAATAAAACAGCATGTCAGCAAGTGTAACATGCTTGCTAGCAGAAGAGGTAAACATGTTTTATTTAGTAGTAGTAGTTTTATGAGAAAAATTCATATTAACACAATGGTTCTTGAGTAATCTAATCATCTGGCTCGATCAAATGTTACATAAAATGATGTCAATATGTAATAAAGGCTTTATGAAGTGGGCATTTTGATCCATTTTTTGTTTTCTCTATTTAACTTCCAGTCATTGTGAATGGAAGAAGATCATTTCGGGGGAAATTCTTTTAAGTTTGCTCCAATATCAAAGGTAACTAAAGTAAACAAAAATATGAGTTTGGCAATTTGGAAATTTAAATCTATACCCTACTAGATTTCTTTGATTTGATGAAATTAGTAGATTTTAGAGGTTATAAAAAAGAAATAATGAATCTATGCTCCAGATTCAATGGTATATTATGACATGATATTCAACCTAGAGTTTCTTTAACCACACCCCTTCACAAATCCCGTGTGTAACCACCCGAATTCAGCTTCAACACTGCTTTCGGCTACTACATTCTGTTTTTACTTATCTAGCTAGGTTACTAAAATTCCCTATACTAAAATTAACCAACAAATGAGTAGATAGTTAGGTCCATCAAGCATATTAACAGGAGTTTGGTCATTGGCCGTGTGTATGAAAAATACTTTATTAGTAGAGACAAAACTCTCTTCCATATTCTCTACGCATCGAAAGGATTAATCTTCAGTCGGGGAATATCTTGACGAAACTAAAAAAAAAAAGTTACAATTAATTATGCATAAACAACAGACAAATGAAAAAAGTGTCAAGGATTTTCTTCTTTTACAATACCAAAAGTACTGATGGTATACATTAATTGAACAATATATATATATATATAACAAGCTCCATAAGAAGTGAAAGAAGTAAATCTAATCTATGGATGGTACTGGAGTGGGCCACCATGGCAAGTCAAGTGATATTACTTGCAAATTTTGAAACCCATGAATCCCGTATCCAACCGTGTTAAACTGATTAGTCTTCAAATTGCAAACAAATATACGCTGCGCATATTGAAAGAACACAACATGTCCATGATGGGGATGGAAAGCTCGCACTACCACCCCAAAACCATCAAGTCCATATGCTGGGAATGCTCCTAACTCATCCCTCACAGAATCTCGCAGCTCCTGCCGAGGAAACGAAGTCCTGTGCAACAAACGCCACCCACAATAGTCCTCCTGTTTCAGTTCCCACACACCCACAATCAAAGGGTCATTGGGTAAATAAGAAGAATAGATAGCAGATATTCTAATGTTCCCACAACACACACCAACATGACCCGTGAAAGGAATATTTATTTGAGATGAGTCCGTAGGATAATCAATGGTATGACACTGTTCATCACTGTGGAAAGGATCATACACCAAAAGACTCATCTTCCCCATGAAAAACAGCTTCCCACCATGTGCAACCGCAGGCAGAGAAACTGTAGCTTGTGTAAAACTAAAACCCTTTTGGCAGGACACAAGTTTTGTGATCCATTGCCCTGTCTCGGAGGAGAAAACCATCACTTCAAACTCGGACTTTGTTACACCACGAAGAAACTCACTCTGTGTTCCATAAAAGAAAGGAATAAGCACTACCCTGAACCTGTGACGGTTAAAAGTGACCCTTTTGGTGTTTCCTTCGACATGATAATATGGTTCACATACAAACCCTTCAATCACACGGTTGAATCTATGATTATCAGAAAGTGGGGGAGGGGGAGGGAGAGGGAGTTGGACCCAATCCCTGGTAACAGGGTTGCACACAAAGTAGACACTCTCAAGTAATGATTTTTTGCAGAGAAGCAAGCCGTTGGAACATCCCACGATCCTCGTATAAAGGATGTCTTCTTTTAAGACATCATCAAGTTCGGGGTCGAACGTTGGACCCAGAAAACTCAAAGACAATTGGTTTTGGTTTTGGTTTTGAGGATTGGAAAGATTAAGAATGTTGGGTAAAAACAAGATGAGGAGCTTACGCTTGGAGACAAAATTCAAGTACCATTGTTTCTCGTGCTCATCGTGGTTCATGTGGTGGTGGTGGTGATAGATGATGGATCGGTGAATGAACTCGGGGCTGGAGATTAAAGATAAGAAGCGCTTGGAGATGGATTTACATCTCACAGCCACCTTGCAAGGAACTCGACTCCATATCTCCACCAGTAAATCATCTAACAAATTGTCCATGTTTGTTCAAACAACACAATCAATCCAGCAAAATCCTTGCCAACAGATCCTATTAAAATTTGCTTTTTATACCTTCTCAATCACAAAGATATATGAACTAGGCCATCTCTGAAATAAATATTGTCCATGAACTATGGACTAGGAGGAACTAGTCCTTGTTTGACTAGTCTACGAAATTCCAAAGCCTAAACATCTAGAACTAATCCATGTTTGAGTTAGTCCTTCTCACGCACTCTTTCGATTTTCGTTTACCAAAAGTTATAAGAAAATTTGACTGTCAAACATAAATGATTATTAAAGGTTATTCCTACGGGACTTTGATTGAACTCACATAAATCTAAAATATAAACACATTAACTAAAATTCAAAATCAAGTTCTTTGAACTAAAACTGAATAGGTGTTTTAGAAACATCACTTGCTATTCTATCATATCATTATACTTTCGTTTTTATTTTAAAAAGTAGAGTTATATTTACAAATTTATAAACTCTTATAAATTATACTATGTATTATGAATAGTACATTATGTGCTGAATATACTTCCCCTAATATATAATGTAATTTATAAGAACTTGTAAATTAAAAATTTGTAAATATAATTTTTTTAAAAAAAAATACATATATAACTAGGGATACCTCTAGAAATTGCAAACTGGTTTCAAGCTCGCACCCTTGTTTGTCATCAAGGGAGGTAATAAAGGTGTATGACTTAGATCATCTGCACCAGTGGTCTAGTGGTAGAATAGTACCCTGCCACGGTACAGACCCGGGTTCGATTCCCGGCTGGTGCATCCGCTTTTTAATATTTTGCGTCCAGCTCTCGGAGCAGTGGAGCACCAACCCGAATGCGTGGTTTCACGTATGATTAATGGACATATTCCCACACGATAAACACAGTAGCTTTTACATCAACATGCATAAACACAGTAGAAGGATATATAACCAAGTAAAAAGTTAAAGAATCTTTAGTTAAGATAACTCTAGTGATCTCTGCATAACAATTAATACAATGACAACCTCATTATTTGCAGGGTTTATGCAAATAATTTTAAACATAGTGTGCGTATCACACATATAATATCAAGAAGTATCATGTTTAATATTCTTTTATATTCATTTAGCTTTCTCAATTTCTAGAAATTGATTATCGATGTAAAAAATATTTTTTATTATGAATATCTTATTACCAATAAGAACGAACAATTGATTTGTGTGTGTATATATATAGTTTTTTTATAACTCAAAGGGGGAAATCCCCAGGACACAAAGAAGGAACAATGAAACAGACACAAAAACCAGAAAAAAGAAACAGTACAATAAGAGGGAAGGGGGAGAATCAGTTGCTCCAATCAAGTCTTCCTCCAAAATAGCTCTCAGCTCTTCAGGAATAAAAAAAGTTCATGACCCCTGCACCCTCTCAGAAGCGAGGGAGGGAGGCCAGCCAATCCGCACATTTGCTTCCCTCTCTAGAAATATGATGAAAGGCAATACACCAATCTTTCTTAATCCAAGCTCAAATCTGAGTCAAGAACTTTCAATGATAATATTTTTTCCACCATTAGCCTTTAGAATTGCGCACTGTGTGTATGTATTCCTTCACAGCTAGAAGCAGGGTGTGCCTAGGGCCTAGGCTAGAATTTCAGAGTAGCCCTTCTTTATTGGTTCATAGATTTTACAAATGCAGCTCCCAGCTTGATTTGAATCAACGAAAGAGGTCAGGTTCGAAAGGAAATGGATAAGGCTAGTGGCTTTACCACAGTTCACAAGTCATCAATAAATTAACTCCAAACATAAAATTGGTCCCGTTTTCTATCATCACCTCATGATCAACCACGATGGCATTCATCTTCCAGCAGTAAGATGCTTAATAAACACTTCCCAGCTTCTGCAAAACCTGCTTGGAATTCCCATTATTGAACACTGCAAAACCTGTGCAGATACCAACAAATCACAAACATGAATGTAATAAGAAATCTTATACATACAAAAACACATGCTTTCTTATGTCAATCAGTTGTGATGACATATAAAACTGCAAATCTACTAGATTAGAAACGCAAATGTTGAGTGAAAACATTGGAGGAATTTCTAATGGAACAAAACCAATATGCAAAAGGTGCTCCAACATAGTGGAATGTTGATGACTTTATGTGCAAGGGATATACCAAATGTAGCTTTCATTTAAATGAAAAATTATGATAGGGCTAATCAAGTCTCAAAAGTTATGTGTAAGTGGTTCTTTATTTAATCTTCTCAAATATTGAGTATTAACATTATCATTTTTGATAACTCAATGTGCAAGGAGAAAGTGTTACTGAGAACTTTTAAACCAAATATAAGGACAGATTGAAAAAGATCCATACCTGTTCAGGCGTTAGCAGAAGAATTTACTAAAGTGATAAAAAAAATGTGGCAATATAACTAATATCACAATTTCATTTCTTCCCCAATATTTGTCACACAGCTGAAAAACAGAAAAGACATAATATAAATGCAGGATTTTTTTTTTTAAAACGAGTAGTGTTCTAATACCGGGTGAGGGAAGAGGGAAGGCTAAAAAGTGTGGACTGCGGACATCTGAAACCACTAGGGAATGAACAACACATAAGGTGCCTTGAAAGGAAAGCTGAGCCTTACTATGCTACAAGGCCATTTGTAACAAGCTACAAAATGGGACAAGAAGAAAAGGGTAAAAGCAAGAAACCTTGTTTACGATTCGGTGAAGTTTAAGTTGAATTGTCATACATATAACAGTCTTCTGAGAGACAGTATCTGAAGATCCTGATCAACTGCATGTCCCTTTCTACAATTCTCCTCTACCGCTGTTTCAATAACATTACTAAACTTACTGTAGCTACTTCAAATAGTTGAGTCTTCTCGTCAGACAAGGGAAGAATTATATAACTACAGAAATTCCTAAATATTCTTGTCTAGATTTCCATTTTGCCAACATAGAACACAATTTGTTGGGGAATAGCACTCGAGTATAAGATATATACTTTCCATCACTGACAAGCATGAGCACAGTAACCAGAGCAAATAATCCCAGAAATCAAAGTTTCAATATCATAACATCATACCAAAGATACAACTCATTCACATTCTGTACTCAAACCCTTATACTCCAATGACTTACTAGATTATTCAAAATATCCAGATACCAGTCAGCTCCATACATGGAAACTGAGGGGCAATTGAACATACCTGCCCACCCAACAATCAAAGATACTTTTCAATACATTCACAGTGGCCTGAAGTTTGTTTTGCTGACAAGGCTCAATTCCTATTTTATAAGATTAGAGAGAAGAATGTGATACAACAGTTTTTTGTTGCTTTAAGAATAACTTGCAATGTGTTAGAGAAGTATATAAACCATTGAAGGGTCTTCACTTAACAACTTAAGCTTTTGGGTTGAATTGGTTCTTTACATGGCATCAGAGCCTCGGTGTTACGGGTTCAATTCTCACCGCCCCTCACTTTTTCTTGTGGAATTTCTTAGCACAAGTAGGTGAGCTTGTGCATTATCCACCCTTCATGTCCGGTGGACTCTCGTGTGAGGAGGCGTATTAGAGAAATATATAAATCATGGATGGGCCTTCACTTAACAACTTAATCTTTTGGGTTTAATCGGTTCTTTACATAATAAAAGGAAACATCTTTATTTCCCTCTAAATGGGGTAGCAAACGACACTGACATAGAAATGTATGGTTAACTCAAGCAGAAAAGAGCCGAATCTCAGGGCTCAACTTTGAATGAAGAAAGAAAATTGAAAAGGCCAGAATAGTGATGTATCTACCTTCTGAGATGTAAGTTTCTCTCACTTTTGATATTGTATATATGGTGAAATTTTTATCTGGAAGAACAGAGATGCTGAGAAAGCTACTGTCAATATCCATGAACAGATTAACAAGAGAAATAGAAGCGAAAAATGTATTATAAACCCTCTGTCAATCAAGTATTAATGATTTAAATGGTTAGTCACTTTGTGGAACCACAACCAATCCCAATATCATAAAATCCACAACCATACCATGTAGTTTCATTTACAATAAGAAAATCTCCCACTTCAATCTAAATGAGAAGAAAATTAAAAGAAATGAAATATAACTTTAAACGAATGTTTCGGGAATTAAGCATCGTTCTTTATGGACCATTAATTTTTGGTGAATGCTTGGTGTGCCCTGGGTCTTTGGATCATTATTTTATAAATAGCATTAATGTTTTAGGTAGAAGTAAAGAGGTAAGTTTTATGGCAATTATTTGTTACTAGATTTAGTTGTTCATTATAGCTGCTCCTTTGTAACTGAAAAGTCACAAGTTCGAATCCCGGAGACAACTTCTTTGAAATAAGCAAGGGTAAGGTTACGTACAATAATTGTCCTCACCACTACCCTTGCTAGTCGAGATTTAATAAGAGTGGCTTCTTTTGTAGATTTAAATGTTCGTGTAAAGAGGCTAAGTTTTTATGGCAATGTGCAATCCATGCGTTAAAGCTGCTTCGTTGTGACTGAAAGATTACAGATTCAAATCCCGAACACAACTTCTTTGAAATATGTAAGGGTAAGGTTACGTACAAGAATTGCCCTCACCCCTACCCTCCCTAGTTGAGATTTAATAGGGATTGATTTTATTTTTTAGATTTAGATGTTTGTGTAAAAGTAAAGAGGCTAAGTTTTTATGGCAATGTGCAATCCATGCTACTATTTGGTGCATTTGATTGGACTGTAATGCTCATATTTTAAGGCTTCTTTGGCTAAGCATCTGATTTGGTATAAGGAGCTTCCCTAACAGATATGCAGAGAAACTACGCAGCTCGGTTCCATCAATCCGTTCTCTTTCACTATGATGGTTTATTTTTCCTTTCTTGGTTATGGAGGATCTCTTATCCTCCAATTCCCTTGTAACTTTCTTCTCTTTGTCTTAGTAAATTTCTACTATTATAAAAAAAAAATGCTTCTGCCAATAACCCTTTTGAGTGAGGAACAAAATTATGTCCATCCTTGAAGTGTTTATGATCAACAACAGGAACAAAATTATGTCTATCCTTTATGATCAACAACGCTGAAAGTAGTTTCACCTACCTCATATTTCCAGTTTGACTGAACCAGAAAGAACATTTTCAGGATTAGTAAACCTTTTTTACTGTGTTACCGTTACACAATATTATACATATGACATAAGAGGGGCGGTTATACTTACCACCATTTTAAACTTACCATTCTTACTACCTCTTTGGTTATCGTTCGATTAATTCGAAATTAACGACAGCTAATTTTTTCTTTTTTTTCAACCGTTGATTTCAAATTGATCCAACGATAACCAAACAGATAATAAGAGTGGCAAACCTACAATGGTGGTAAATATAACCTTCCTCATGACATAATATGAAATGAAGGAAAAGAGAACAAAAGCAGTATACTATAAGGAACAAAAATAAGGAAAACTATGAAGCATAAACCATGGATATTAAGAATACAATCCAATCTTTGCCAAATCTCAAATCCACATACTCATAAAAAAATTTCCCATAAAAGGGAAAGAGCTGTTCTCTTTTTGCCTCATTGAATGCCTATAGCCTAACAATTATTGTAAGGGTAAAAAAGAATGTCAACATTCATTAATAAATCTTCAAACTGCCCTTGAACCTTGATAACCATTTCTCTAACTAGCATATTATCTTTGCTAAGAAAACTGAGATTGAAATAAAACTATACTATACACTGAAAGCCATCTCTAAATTAAGCACATTAGTACATTAGCCAAGGCATTAGACACATGAAAATTGCTATTATACACAAAATACCCATGCCAATTAAATTATCAAATCATAAGGACTGATATTATACCGTTTGAAAACATGTTCTGGACTTTCAAGCATTGGAACCAGAAAGGATCATATAGCAAACTAGGTGCATGGAGACAGAGCTAGTATTGTCTACTACATGAAAGACAGTGAATTAACAGGGAATTATCAGAAGAGAAACTCACAGAAATGCAGCAATTTGAATATAAAAAATGAAATGAAAGGTTGGACCTCTCTTAAACAAGTCCAATCAGTCAAAACTGTTGGGCATCCATATAGCCTTTCAGAAGGCAATATCCCCAGTTCACCTATTCATGTTTTGAATGAGAACAAGACCTATGTTAAGCATATATACCCTCAATCCTACATATTCGAGTTGATCTTACTCTGTCAAGAACGCTGTTTAGTTTCTCCAAATTTGCTCTAAATAGGAGAGCTAGAAGAAGTAGTAAGCAAGACTCATATTGAACCTCACATAGAAAAGTCATCAACTAAGAGTTGTTCCCCATTTAGGTGTTATCCTACCTCAAAGAATAACTTTGTACTTGATATCAAATTGGAAGAACAGCATACAGAAAAAATTTATTTTCAGATTTCAGAATAAGAATCCAAAGGCATAATATTAGAATCTAATGAAAGCATAACACCAATACATATCCCAAACTAAAAATGTAATAATGATTAAAGAAAGTATTAAAAAAAAAAGAATCTATGGCCTACAACTTCTGCAAGAACATTCTATGCTTTTTTTCAGCCACCCTAGTCCCAAGGTAGCATCCATATGTCTCAGGCATATTTACGCTAAATCATTAATTTAGTATCATTCTTCAGAAAGTTGAAGCTTGGACCACTTATTGAGTATCATCACGTAAGGCCCTCAATCTATGAAGTTATCACTAACCATACTAAGAGTAAATCTTTAACTCGGATATTGTATATGCACCAATGCTAAAACCCTAGTGACCAAAAAAGAAGAAAAGGAAAGTGAACAGAAACTGAAAAACCAGACTGCAATCATGCTGCACAAGTATTTTTCAAGTAGATTAAGAAAGAACGGAAAAGCTGGAAATCCTCTTCTAGGCAATGAGAGTTTATGGCAAAGAATAACTATATACCAAGAAGATGTTTATAAGTTGGAGGTAATTGGTCAATGAGACAGTTAAGCAGATAGTAGATCAACCAGGGTAAGCACATCCATTCCATTCAACACGAGCTCATGTTTGACACATAATTCACTTGTAAAATGATAAATTGGTGCAGAAGTATTTTAACATGCCATGTAAAGACTCCATTTGAATAAGGAAGAACGAGAGTAACTGAACTTAAGTTTCAATATTTGAATGATGCAATCAGCCTGATGAACTAGCCCTAATCAAAACCTGCCACAATATCAGCGCATAGGCCAATCACAAGAAGGATGGAAAATCCATAACATGATATAACCAAATCAGAAATCTAATTTTTATTGCAAGTTTTAATGGCAACGAACGAAGTACGCTATTATGTCATGTGACACGGAGGCCAGCATTTTGGCCAGAAGAAACGCCTCTCTGTTCCGGCAAAGCCTCTTGCTCCTTCGCCACGATACTCGCCAGCTGTTCCAGCGCCTCTCTGGCTTTCTTCCTTGCTGCGGCGGCTTCCTTGGCCCTCCGCTCCGCATCGAACCTTGCGGCCGCGGCTGCCTTGCTCATCGACGTCGCGGCAATCCGAGCAGCGGCCACGAGCACCTTCGCGGACTGAACATCAACACCTCCCGATTTCCGATCGGGGATCTTGAAGTAGGAAAAGTTCGGGTCAGCACAAGTCGGGCACTCAAAAACGGGTGCGGGAGCAGCGGAATCGGTGGTGGAGGGGAGCGCACAGGATCGGTGGGCGATGGTGGGGCATCGGAAGCACATGACGCGGAGGTGAGGCGGAGGGGAATCGTCGAAAACTTCGAAGCAGATAGGGCAGAAGATACCAACGTGATGCTTGAGGACGCAGTTGGTGCAGTAGCGACGGTTTTTGGCTCGGTAGCGAACGTTGTGGATGATTAAAGATAGGGTTTGGGTGGCGCCGCAGCCATCACAAGCCGTCGAAGAGGGTTGAGGTTGGTTCATCGGAGTAGCATTGAACGGAGGATAGAGAGCCTCCTGAACTGGCGAGTCCCAACGGTAACCCTAGAAATTAAAGAGCAAGTGAGGGAGTGTACAAAACAAAAAAGGAACTATGATTAGGAAAATGGTGGGAATGGCTAAATTGTGGTCACACAAACGGTTTTGTTTTATTCTGTATTTTTTTTTCGAGTAAAATATTTTTTGCTCCCTAACAAAAAATACGGTCTCCACTTTAGTCCCTTATAAAAATAAATTAATCAGTTAGTCCCTAACAAATTCAAATTGGACTCATTTAGTTGAAATCGTGGTCCCTCACAAATTCAAAAAAGACTCATATTAGTCCTTCAAAAGGATTAAAATGGGTCCACATGAATTTGTTAAGGACTAACTGACTAATTTATTTTTGTAAGGGACTAAAGTGAGGACCGTGTTTTTTGTTAGGGACCCAAAAGGATATTTACTCTTTTTTTAGAGAGGGCATGTGAATGTGAGTTTTAGTCCAGTGTAAACACATATTTGACAAATAATGAAAAGTGTAGGATAATTAAAATAAATAAATAAATCTCTTATATATTATTTAAAAAAATTAATTAAAGTACATATCAATTTTTTGTGAATAATATACTAATTAAAAAAAAATTCTTTTTGAAAAATATGATTACATTTTCAACAACCATAAATAAGAATCTTAAACATCATTTTATTTATTTTAGAGAAATATCAGGCTATTATTCGTGCGTTGCACGGAGAAAAAAAATCAATTTATTTGTCTCGTAAAAATTAATGCAAATTTTATAGGATATAAACACTCAATTGCATCTCGTAAGATACAAATAACAATTTTAATGCCTTTCTTTAGTCTCAAATTAAACAATAATGCCGAGCAATACTTTAAAATAATGTATTTATGCTTTCACGTATTCAGGTAACAAAGCATGTATTACATTCACACAAAAAAAAAAAAAAACATGTATTACATTCACCAAAAAAAACAACAAAGCAAATATTATCAATACGACCATGATAAAATAGAAGAGAGCACTTATTAAAGACTTGATTAAAAGATAAAATAGGTAAGTGATTTACAACTTATGCACGTTGGAAAAAATCAGAATTTCTGTCGACTGTCGTTAGTTAAGCTCTAAAAGAAATCAAAAACTTCATCTTGCCTTTTTATTTGAGAAATCTTTAAAATAAAAAGGACTTGTTTGCTATTTTTTATTGTTTTTACCTCTACCAAACAACAATATTATCTCTTTCTAGTTATTTCAAAGCTGCGCTAACTTTTGAGATTTTGTAAAGGATATTTGAAGTCATATATTACTTCACAAAAATAGACAAAAAAATTAATTAATGAAATTGAAACACAATTGTTGATCTTTAAGTTTGATCATTGTCAAACAATTACTGAAAGAACTTTAAATGTTGTGAGTCAGATTTATTACTTACAATAGAATCAATGTGTCTAAAGCGATCCAAATCAACTATACTAATCTTTAAAATATTTTCTTCTAGACAATGTTAAAGGTACTATTCGTAATACAATCATTATCGTTAAGTATCAATATCTTCAATTCCTAATTGTTCTTTACTCTTGATAGTGTCACATATAATTGCCCATAATTGAAGACAGACTTAGGGAGACTAGAAATCAACCAATTTTTACGCAAGCAAATACAGTATTTTTATTTTCAAAATTGTCAATCATAACATAGGCCAACAGATAAAAATCATAAGGAAAATTTTAAGCAGAAAACCAACGCTACTCAAAGACACATGAAATTTTGTAATGAAAACATTTTTCTTAGTATCTCGCAGAACCAAATTGATACATAATGATCTCTCAATTGTCATTTGAATTTGTGATGACCAATATGAATCAAAAGTCACTCCACTGACTAGATCCTAACATTACAAAAACTAATTCAGTACCATGGTAGGAAATTAGCCAACTCAAAATCAAAACATGTCTCACCTCCGTTCTACAAAATTTGTAGAAAAAATATTCATGAATAGAGAATATTTTTCTGGTGACGTTTTTGAACTCTTCCTTTATGTTTTCATATAGTTGATGTATTTGGGCCTTTGTGGATGACCTTTTAATAGTGGAGATTTTGTTCTACTACGATTTTTTCAACTTTCTCACGTTGAGGAGTTTTTTTTCCATGCTAAATTTGGTGTTATTGACTTTTGGTTTATTTCGATTTTTGTTGCTATATTTATCGCCATATTGGTATTGAGTTTGTTTTCATGTTGTTGTTCTAGGGGAAATTTTGTTGTTTCCGCTACTAGTTTTATATCAAATTGGATGTTGGTTGATGTTCGGGCATGTAAAACTTTTAAACGCATGTTAGTCAAGGTGTTCATGATTGTAGTCGCACCTATTAATATTTGAAGAAGCCCTGCTTAAGGGAAGCAAATGTGAGCTTGTGATTCACACTTGAGATCGATAATATTGGGATCCAAGAATGAGGAGTGAAGACATCATATAAGCGAAAAAATCCACATACCTAATGTCTGAAAGTGTTGTATTGAAATATAATGTCAAACTCGTTTATTGGGATCAATTTTCACTTAGCTCATTTAATAGTAGCTCTTCTATTGTCAAGGGCTCTGATGTTACCCAACATCAAACATGTTAAAAAAAGAGAGGCAAATATAAAACCTATAATTTGTATAATTGTACATAGAATATCACATTTATATAATTGTACACCGAAAAATATATTCCTGTAATAAAGAAAAAAAATGCAATCTAAATTTTTTAAAACATTTAATTAATACATTTTTAATTGAAGAGCTGGTCCTAAAGGTCCTTTTCAAGATTTGAACCAGTGAACTCATATTACCATCTAAGCCAACCTTCGAGATTATTTCATATTTTTTTTTTTAAATTAATCCACAACCCGCGGACCCCAGTAATAATTTCAATACATTTTAGCTACGCACTGCTATTGGAATGTGGGCAGGTAATATTCAGTATACATAAATGAAATGAAGTTGAAATGAAATAGCTTTCGTTAAATAAATTTATTCACAAATTAATAGTTTTTGCTTTAAACAAGTCATTTATTATTTTGTATACTGATCTTTCCCAAAAATAGGGGCCACTAAAACCCACTCAACTACCCAAACCCGTTGACACAGATGAAAGGAGTCTGTGTTCTCTTAATCAGTGGTCTCGAGTTCGAGCCCTAGATATGGAAAGAACGGATTGGGTAGAGTCCCTCGGCAAGAGTCCGACAATATTCGCATGGGATTAGTCTCATCTCAAAGGAGATGGAGATACCCTTGAGAAATATACTCAAAAAAAAAAACCCACTCAACTGAGGCAAAACCCCGTTACAGGATCAAATTCAAACCAAACCCCCGTATCATTAAGCGGGGAAATTTAATTTAATATTTACTTCAGAATAATATGTCAACATTAGTCAAATCACAAATTCAAATTTCAGTATGTAATTAAATTAAACCACTAAAAATTGGTCAATGGTGAATAATTTTGATAACCTTCATCAAAATATATTTTCAAACACTCTGTCATGTTGTCGTTGCAGCAAAATTCAAAGTTTAGTGGCATTATTATCCACGGACTTCGAGATTTTACATAAAGGAAAATGTAATTCTCATTTTCACGGGATAAGAGATTTTTTTGTAACAATAAATTAATATTATATTTTATCAGTAATATATAATTATAATTTTAAAATTTGTTTTTCTCCTCAGAAAACTGTGACTAAAATGAAAAAAATTAATATTATAATTATATCTTAATAATAAAATAAAATATTAATTGATTGCTGAAAAAATAAGAGAAGTTGACAACCTTTTACATAAAATATTTTTTTTTTAATATATAAATGGAGAGCCTAGCCTAGAAACACTAAACAGAAAGCTGGTGTATGTTTAAAGTCACATGCTCCACCAGCAAGTTTGAAACAAAAGAATTCAAAAAAAACTCAATGCTATCAGGGGAAGAGGAGAACACCCTCAACTCTACTCCCTTGTGTTTAAATCCTAACTTAGCTAAGCTATCTGTACAATCATTTAAATCTCTAGGAATATACTCCAGATGAAATTGATCAAACGATTGGGTTGTTTTCTTTATACTGTCAATTAGGGAAGAGTAACCGCATGGATCAGCTTTAGCTTCTGTGCAGTGAATGGCCTCTTTGCTATCACAACCAAGCCAGACAGTAGGTAGTTTCAGCTCTCCAGCTAGTTTAAGGCCATGAAGAATACCCCATAATTCAGCTTCCAAAGGGGTGCAAGACCCTATGTTATAATTTTGGGGGATTCAATTCTTATATTGCTATAATGCTTTTTACTGTCCCCAAGTTTAATCTTCAAAACAAAATTTGAAATCTAATAAAAAAGAAAAAGAAAAGAATGAACTATCCAAGTCCGTATTTGGGCAGCCCAACCTTTTATTCAGTAAAATAAAATAAAATAAAATTCAATATTACTCAGGGAGACATGCACCCTTTAAATCTTATAACTAAATTTGGTGATAATTTTTTTTTTTTTTTGTTTCTTTACCAATTCGTTGATTATTCGATTAATTGATATCCAAGGCTTGAACTTACCAGTAGTTACGCCGCATCACGATTTATGTGCATGGTGGTGGCCATAAATTTTTAATCCTCGTGTGATACATATTATAATACACTTACATAATTTAATTATATTTATATCCAATTTTTTACAAGCTCTGCATGTAAATATGTAATATATTTAAGTGGGTTTGGAAAGAGGAGTACAATTTTTTTTCCCCCAACCTAACTTGAAAAAGTAAAAATTGAAGGAAAAAAACTGTAGAAGTGTTTTAAGTTGCGAAATTCGAAAGAGGAAAACAAAGCTAACAGTAACAGTGAAGAGAACGCAGCGCAACGCAGGAAAGGCTTTGTGTTGTTGTTGTTGTTTGTGAGAGAGAGTAAGAATGGAAGTGGATGATGACTGGGATTTGAGCGCAGAAGACCTCGATTCTCTCGAAAGAGACGCTTTCCAGAAGATTGCTCAACTACGCCACCCTTCTTCTTCTTCTTCTCAGCAATTAAACTTGCATCAACACCATTCTGCAACCAACCACTTGGAGCCATTCCCACGAAATCCCGTTCCCGATTCACGTCCTCAAAGAGTAAAGTTATAATCTTTATTTTATTTTATTTTTCAATTCATTATCATTTCCCATTATTTACGGTTCTTGGGTTTCTTCTTCGTGTGTGTGTGTGCGTGAGTTTTTTTTTTTTTTTTTTTTTTTTTTTGGGGGGGGGGGGGGGGGGTTGCTGGCATTATAGGGTTAATTTTGTCTTTTGATCTTCTAATGGGTTTCTATAGTTGATTGGGTTGGTCATTTGCATAATCAGTTTTTGTTTGCTCCGTTAAGTGTTCATGCTTAGTTATGTCCCTTTAAAGTGAAACGAAGTAGAAATAGAAGCACAAGCTGTTTGATACTATAATTACTCGTATTCTGCTACCTTGTGAACATTTTTGGGTAGGAGCATTGCTTATTGTCTTTGTGTTATTGTTTCAATCCAGGTTGATGCTGTTTCTCAAGGAGCTAGAGTATTACCCACGTCATTGAAATCAGGGACAAACAAAGGTGTGGTTTTCTTTTTCACAATGGATTCAGTGGCTCCGTCTCTTTCTATCATCTATTTTTTCTCTATCTGCTTTCAATTTGTTTTTACGTTGTTGTTTATGGGTAAATTTTTCTCTATGGTCTTCCATAACCGAAAAGAATAGCCATAAACTTAGATATAGTTTTTCTTCCCTTGCTGTAATTTTGTTTGGTTTTCGAAGTATCAAATGGTGATCTATTTGCTTTTATTTTGTATATCTGGTTATATGTTTAAGCAGATGAACATTCGAAAGAACTGCCAAAGGTTTCAGTTAAATTTTTTCTTCATTCCACTGGAAACGTGGCAGCAAAGTTTCAATATGACCAGGTTTTATTTGCTGACTACTTGCAGAGTATTGGATTTTATTAAATTTTGACTCTTCCGTCCATATACAAGTATCAGTGCAGAGCTTTCAGGCTCATGCTTTAGACTTTGTTTTGCACCAGGTAGTAGTTGCTGCTTTTAAGAGAATCACTAAATCTTCTTGGAATGCAAAAGAAAGGTATGTTTCTCCCTCATTACTGCAATGGGTGTGTGCCTGTGTGACAGTTCAAGCCCATGAGTTCTCGAGATTGGCAACTTTGCTGCCTTAGCCTTATGAAAAATTTGAGTTTACAGGTTATGGATGTTCCCGCTGTCTTCTTTGCCGGAAGCAGAAAAGGTTCTTGGAGAAATATCTGGTTATAATGTTCAGGTAATAGTTTCTTCTATTTTTCATTCTCCTTACAGTTGGGACATTGATGTGACTATTTGCTACCGTAAGACACATAACCATGGCATATACAAATTTCTTTTTCATAACAAATTTGTTACCTTAAGGGTGAGCACTGGTTCAACAGTAAGATTGCTGTCACTAGTCAGTGTCTTGTGATGTGGTTGTCACAGAATCAGCCTCTCCACTCATGGTGGTAAGGCTGCGTACACGCGGCGCTCCTTAGATTATCATGGAAACACCCTCTGCTTTCTTTTTATTTTCTTATTTTTCTTTGTAATTTGTTTAATATTTAAATTTTAGGTTTTGTCCAGATTATTAAGGATATATATTTAACTTCCACATTTAATGATTGAGTGCGATGAGATGAGCAAGGTGTGGGAAATCGAATAAATTTTAAAAAGGATTGGATGGGATTGGAGTTTTCAGACATTTAAATGACACATACACAAGAAGGGTATGTTTCATGATTACCTAACCGGTTGCCATCCCTAGGACCACTGTTGGTGGAAGGAACTTTCCTTGTTTGTTTTGGGAAAACTGTTTACAATGTTTGGAATTCTATTGTGAAGTAGCTTCCATGTGGTGTGTGAAGTGAATTTTTGTTTCTCAGCACATATTTACTTTGTTGAGAGCTCTTCTGAAGATCTTTTGTGTCTTTGACATTGTTCAACCACTGCATGTGGTCGATGATTGTCCTGGCTGTTTGAGTATAAGCTAGTAGAGTTATGTTTATCTTTTTGGAGGTTCGTTTGTTCCTTTTTAAAAATAAAGAAATAATAGATTGTTCTATGTGGTTGATCTGAATTATTTGGTTGCAGAGAAAAAATAGATTTTCATGAACTTCAAATCTCTACTATGGAGATCAAAGGAAATCCCTGATGTATTGGATTGTCCTGAATTCTGCTATAATTCCTTATTTTTAATTTTAACTTCATACATGTGTTTTAAATCTTAATTTTTTTCCTTTTGTCTCTTGACTCTATCATGTTTCTTTTTCTTGTACAACCTGTTTACACTGTTTATGCACCCTTATATGTTCTAAACTTCTAATGGAAAGATAGATTATAAAAAATGTAAAAAGCATCATATGTGGATAATAGGATTAGGAGGTGTGAAGGTGGGATCACCAATTCAATAAATGCTTTCCTTAATTAGTAAGAGTCTGCTATCCTAGAGTAAGGATGTACGCCAGAAGTTTGTGGTTTTTATCTGACATTATTTTGTTCCTTAATTTCTATATGTTTTAGCTTTCTTCCTTTATTTAAATTATTTTACACTTTTACAGGTGGAAAACGTAGATCCCTTGGTGCATCGGGCCATTGCTGCTGCATTCGCTGTTCCTGATCTTCGAGGTATGTGCTGAATGTTTTGACTATCAAGTTTTTTGCCCTCTCCTTTGTGGCTCTGCAAAGGCTTTAGGTAGATATAATTTGTTTCCAAAAATTCTGAAGTTGCTATTCTTGGCTGTCTTTATGGAAAGATCGATACACCAAGATCCCTAGCTATATTGAATCAAAGCTTTTGCCATTTCAGCGAGAAGGTGTTAGGTATGTGGTAGCCTGCTCACTTTTTTCCCCAATAGACTATTCTCATATAATATGGATTAGTTATTATGTTTTATCTTTCTTCTGTCTTTTTTCCCCTCTCTAATTTGCTTTTCTACTATGCCTTTATTTTAGTTATTATTTATTCGTTTCCAGGTTTATATTGCAGCATGGAGGACGTGCTCTTTTAGCAGATGAAATGGGACTGGGGAAAACCTTGCAGGCAATTCACTGTCTAATATTAAATCATTTCCATACATTCACTGTGCAACATGTGTAACTGTTTTATTTCTTGACGAACAAACATACAATTGTTAGTACCAGTATTAGTAAAGTCTTCTCAAGATTTCTGCTTATCTATCTTTGGCTTGTTAAATTTTGTTGATTATCTTCTTTCTTATGCCTTCTGCAATTTAAAATGAGTATCTTAGGTGTTAATTAACTTATGGTAGAAATCATACATGATGCTACAGCAGTATCTGTAATTTAATTAACAAGAGTATACAAGAATAACGTCACAATCACAGTAGCATCAGTGTAGTGAGTAGAATTCGCTTCGGGTTGTGTAATATGTTGGAGTTATGATCTTAATTCCTTTCATTGTTGACTTGTGATGATTGCAACTATCTCTTAGGCAGGGTGAAAGTAAACTGTATTTACCATTTCATGCTATCCTTGCACCATCACCATGGGTATGAAATAAGCCAAATTCTGCTGCTTTCCCAGTTACCTCTTGTAGATTACTCTCGTAGAACTATGGAAATTTCTATCAATTTTGATAGGCTGGTGTTGAATATCATAATCTGAGCTCAAAGTAGACAATAAATTTTTAAATTGTTACTTTGTGCAGATACATGTACAAATTCTATGCTCAAAACACCCAAACACACATGCACATCTATATTTGATACATTATTCTCTTTTTAATTGTCACAAGGCCATATAATAATTGTAGAAAATTAGAATTCAAACATGTTTCCGTTTTTATTTCCTATTAATTAGGATTGATTAGGATTGATTATGATTGATTAGGATTGATTGTGATTGATTAGAATTAATTGTGATTAGGATTGTGATAGGATTGATTAGTCATCGCTTAGTCATTCTTAGCGATTCTTTCTTGTATAAATACTCACTCATGTAATTTATTCAATATGAAATATACAAAAACTTCTTTTCAATATGGTATCAAGAGCGGGTTCGTTCCTACCCTAATTCAAATCTGAAATAACCATCCAAACACTTCCATCACCGTCAAACACCTCCTAAACACCTCCTTGAATCTGTCCAACACAGAAACCTAGTTTACTGACCTCCGATCAAGAAAGTGAGGTGACCATTCGACTCAGAAGGATCCGACGAGTCGACTGCCGCTGGACCCATCGCCGTCAGCCGCGCCCCGCGCCGCCACGCGCCGTCACACGCGCGTCCAGTCTCCGGCGCGTGAGCTCCACGCGCCGCCTTCCAGACGTCTTTTTCCGTCGCGACTTGCACAGACCTTCTCGCCGGCTTCTCCCCTTCCTGTTCCAGAGGTCAGATCAAAAGTTTACAAAACTTGATTTTTCATCAACGGTCAACCCTTCTTTTTTTATTCATGGCTTCCTCAAAACACTCTTCCGCCTCCTCATCTGCCCCAAATTCTCAGTCCTCTGGAGACAACTTAGGTTTGCAGATCACCAATCACCGGTTGAACGGTAAGAATTTTCTGCAATGGTTTCAATCGGTTAAGTTGGTCATCCGGGCAAAGGGTAAGATGGGCTATCTTGAGGGAAAAATTAAGAAACCTACTGAGAATTCTCCTGATTATGACGATTGGGAGATTAATAATTCCTTGGTCATGGCTTGGCTGACTAATTCCATGGAACCACAGATTGGCCAAACCTATCTGTTCTTTGATACTGCCAAGGAAATTTGGGATGCTGTTCAACAAAATTACTCTGATCTGGAGAATACCTCTCAAGCTTTTGAACTGAGAAATAAGTTGAGAGACTTTCGTCAAAGGGGTATGACTGTTACTGAATATTTTACTGCACTAACGAATTTATGGCAGGAATTGGATCTTTATTATGCATCTGATCTTAAGGGATTGGAAGCTAATACCCAATTTAAAAAACACTTGGAGAAGGAAAGACTGTATGATTTCCTTGCCGGACTCAACCGAGATCTTGATGAGGTTCGTGGTCGAATATTGGGGCAGCGACCGTTACCTTCACTTGCTGACGCCTTTGCTGAAGTTCGTCGAGAAGCCAGTAGACGGAGAGTTATGCTGGGAGAAAAGGACTCCTTGATAAGTCTGATGATATGTCTGCATTAGCTGCCAACCGTACCATTGACCGTTCCTCCGGAGAATCAAAACGGGATGGTCGTCCATTGTGCACCCACTGCAATAAAATTGGTCATACCCGTGAGAAATGTTGGGAAATCCACGGGAAACCTGCAAATTGGAAGCCCAAAGGACAAAATAAAGGTCGTGCATATCAGGTCTCTACTGATGACAAGGTTGATGAGCCTCATGCATCCTCTGACTCTGATGGTGTCTTTCTTAGCAAGACTCAGTTTGAACAACTTCAGAGACTTTTGACTCAACCTCCTAAGGCCACTAGTCATGTGGTCCAGCAAGGTACAGCTTTCCATGTTGATAGTCAAAATCATTGGATCCTTGATTCTGGAGCCTCTGATCATATGACAGGTAATCTTGGCTTGTTTTGTTCATACATTCCATATTCTGAACCTTCTCGGGTCAAGATCGCCGATGGCAGTTTTTCCCAGATTGCAGGACACGGAACCATTAAACTTTCTGAGCTGATTACTTTGACATCAGTTCTTTATGTTCCTTCTCTGACTTGTAATCTCATTTCCATTAGCAAGCTCACCTCTGAGTTGCATTGCTTTGCTAAATTCTTTCCACATGGTTGTGTTTTTCAGGAACAGGACTCGGAGAGGATGATTGGCAGTGCTAGAGAGGATGGTGGACTTTACTACTTTGAGGAGGATGTGACTCATGAAGCTGTTTTCGTAGAAAAAAACTCTATGTTTCCTTTTGATTCATGTAATGATGTTATGCTGTGGCATCGTAGGCTAGGCCATCCAAATTTTATTTATCTTCGGAAGTTGTTGCCAAACTTATTTATTAATAAAAGTCCAAGTTTGTTTTCTTGTGATATTTGTCAACTTGCCAAGCATACTCGTGCTCATTATCCTTCTAAAGTTCACCATGACTCTTCCCCATTTTCCTTAATTCATAGCGACATATGGGGTCCAGCCCGTGTTAAAAATATTTCAGGTACTCGATGGTTCATTACCTTCATTGATGACCATTCTCGAGTTTGTTGGGTGTATCTTCTAAAGGATAAGTCCGATGCTGCATCCGTGTTTAAAAAATTTCATGCCATGGTTCAAACCCAATTCCAAGTTGCTATACAAATTCTTCGTACAGATAATGGCAAAGAGTATTTTAACTCTATTCTTGGAGAATACCTTTCCCAACATGGCATCCTTCACCAAAGCTCGTGTCCTGACACACCCCAACAAAACGGAGTTGCGGAAAGAAAAAACCGACATCTCCTTGAAGTTGCTCGTGCTCTTATGTTTACCACGAGTGTTCCTAAATATCTTTGGGGAGAGGCAGTTCTCACTGCCTCGTATCTGATAAATCGAATGCCATCTCGCACCCATCAACGGTCTAAGCTTGATCCTAAGTCTCTCCAGTGCGTCTTTATTGGTTATTCTCCTACTCAACGTGGCTATAAGTGTTATTCACCCTCTCTTCGTAAGGTCTTTGTCTCTATGGATGTCACTTTTTCTGAGAATGACCCTTTCTTCCCCTCGACTTCTCTTCAGGGGGAGTCTATAGGAGTAGATGAAGATCAGTCATGGGAACCTATTAATGCCACAGTATTACCTCTACTTTTGGAAACAGGGGGAGCTACAGAATCCTCACCATCAGAAGCCTCCTCAAAATGGGGACAAGTTTATAGCAAGCGAAAGCCTCCTCAAAGTGTGAATAACCCAGAGCCTCTACACTGCCAGGATTCTGAACCATGTTCTAGTTCCAGCACCCCAATACTTGAGTGTCATGGTGAAAATGATCTACACTTGCCCATTGCTCTCAGAAAAGGTACTCGATCTTGTACTACTCATCCTATTTCTAATCATATTTCATATGGAAAGTTGTCCCCAGGGTTTCGTGCTTTCAATACTATGTTGGATAGTACAAAGATACCGAGAAATATACATGAGGCTCTCAATGATAAAAAATGGAGGGATGCTGTCTTTGAAGAAATGAATGC